TATATATATATATATATATATATATATATATATATATATATATATATGTATATATGTGTGTGTGTGTGTGTGTGTGTGTGCTATGCTGTACTTACAGAGGAGAGGAATGAGTTGCATGGTGTCCAGGGGGCCTTACCACTGCAAAGCCATTCTGTGGAATTACAGCAAAAAACATAAAACTCAGCCAATTACTTCTTTAATAATCTTTAATAATATCCCCAATTTTCACAGTTTTAAAAGTTTCATGGTGCAGATACACATAGGCTTATCACAGACAGGTTCAGTGTATTCAATGCAAGGTACTCAAAATAACACATCTTCTTCAGTTTTTAAACTTATCACTGAAGAGTAATAACTATTAGTATTCAGTCACAGACACACACCTTCAACTCTCTCTGTGCCACCTTCAGAGCCAGGTCTGTGACACAGCCTGCAGCGATTCTGGAAGCAGTCGCTGTGTGATGATCATTCCAAACTGTGTCAATATCTACCTGTCAGTAAAACAATGACAGACACTTCAATCTCCCAAACATTAATCAAAGGTGCAACTAAGACTGAGACTGAAGAGTCAGAAAGCTGTCATGTTTTTTTAATCAATCAATAAATGTGTTAGTAAATGAATAAATACAAAAAAGAAAATCGCCAAAGACTTCCCGTAAGGCAGGTTTAATTTATAAATATATTATATCTAATATATAATATATCTACTATATTATATGATATCTATTGTGTTATTTGATTATATTAAGATATATTATGACTATATCATCTGAGAGAATGAAAAAAAAATATTGGTCTGACTACATATTTATATGGAGTAGTGCACTCATTGAGGGGCAAGTTAATATAATAAAATGATTTCGGGGAGATGTTTGTTTTTCATCTGTTTCTTTGTTGCATCTTTTGTCAGTATTCACAAATGTTACGCTGTGTTTTAAAACTCATCCCTGATGGTGTGCTGGATTACTGCTGGGGGAACAATGAAATCAGAGGAATTTCTTTTATCACAGACCTTGCCATCTTGTTCCAATCACCCCTCTGAACCAGCGCAGCCAAAGGCCGGAAATCCAGGCAGAGCAGTCCTCTTATCAACTACCACCCAGCCCCCTCAAATGTTCCTCCTCTCCTCTTAGTCTCAGAATCTATCTTATTTTCTTCTTCTTCATCTTTATCTACATTTCCATTATGTATTTCTCTAAAATGTACAGCTGTATTCTCCGTGCATCTTTCTTCCCACATCTAACCTTTGTACAGAGATTAATTTGTGAAGTTTCAAAGTTATCTTTGCCAAAAACAATAGCATCAGCAATTTGTAGTATTATTAGTTAAATTGTGTAATGAGGCATAATCAGCCATGTAATGTTTGCTGTTCAGTAATGCAATTAGATAAGTGGAAAGATTCCCACACGACCTGCGACTTAAAAGAGGTCTGATGATGTGTGCGTGTGGATGTTTGTGTCTGCTGATACTTGTGTCCATGTGTAGTACTCACTCCAACCCCTCCACAGGGCAACATCACAAAAGTTGGTTGAGATCCTGCAGGAGAGGGTTTGTGGCATTCAAATGTCATGAATTTTTTCTACCAATTTTCTTCAAATGGAATTACCATTAAAGCACTGTTATTACTAATCTTACCAGCCAGCTTGCGGTGGTCCGACTTGCTGTTCCCAAACGTAAGAACATGCTTTTCAGAATGGACTGATTGTAGCTCTTCAAGGTTGGCCTTCCTGCTGCGGATACACTTAATAACATACAAACGTACATAGAGAATATGAACATATATTCTTCCTCTGAATATATATATTTTTTGCATTCATATGCTTGCGAATAATGATTTTATAAAATATACAGAATTGTTTTAAACCCCACCTCACACTGACTCCTCAGCCCTCTTTCCAGCAGCCTAGACCAGATGCTCTGGACCCTCCCCGCGTGCTCAGGGTGGCGGCTGTTATCTCCACAGGTACACTGGTGCTTTTGCATCTGTGCATCATACACCAAACCTACATACACACGCACAGACATGAAGATTAACATACGATCCCATTTTTCCTCCATTTTATCGCTATTCTGTCACCCACAAATTATTGGTAAAAGACATACACCCTGGTAAGGGGTAGTTCATGACGAATAATAATTGTCGTACCTGTTGTGTAGCGTAACTTGATATCTGTAGCGGCACTGGACAATGACAGAGAAGGTATGGCGGCAGATGGATGTGAAGCAGGAGACAGAGAGGTGGAGGCTGGTAGCGACCGGGACCGAATCACAGGTTGGTGAGACTGGTGAGGCCAAATAACGGTGGGCACACCCAGTCCATCCGGCTGTAAAGCAGCTCTGTGGATGACTGGCCTCTGTGTTTTCAGAAAAGCATTTGAAGAAAATGAAAAAAAGAGTTAAAAAGAGTGACTTAAATGACAGAGCCTGGCTGCAGCTGCAGATGATGAGGACTGCGTGGAGTAAACCTCCAGACCATAAATGTGGCAGACCAATTTCTTTCACCAGTGGAAAGCAATTACTAATTATCTGGACAATTTAATTCTGCTTTTCGAGGGCAAGCGACTGATAAGGAAAAGTCAACACTGCCAAGCAGGCCACAACGGCAGTCTCCTGTCCAGCTTTTCAAACTACTATAAATAAAGCAACAGTGCCTCCTGATGGAAAGCACAGTTCAGGCATACACATTTTAAAATGGGATGTAAAACATAATTACAAGATTTTGACACATTTTTTCTATCAATGGTTTTCATCAAGGGGTTTTAATCCAAACCAATAATTTAAAGAAAAGGAAACACAGCTTTTGTCTGGAAAGAGTTAATATGTGATTATGTGAGTTCATATGTGATCGTGACTTTGTACCTGAGTGAGAAAATGTGATTGCTCGATCAAGCTCTCCCGAGAGGAGGTGGTGGACTCTGTGTCATAAACCGAGTCTGTGCTGGCATTGCTTTGTCTCCTGCGCTGACCGTCCTCATAAAGGGAGCCTGGTTCTGAGCCGCACACCGACCCTGTTCCCGAACCTGATCCTGATCCGGTCTCCTCCAGGTCCATGTCCTCCGATGGGATCTGAGTCAGACGTGTCTTCTCAATGGATTTGCTATTTAACTATTTCAAAGTGAAAAAGTGATGTTTTTTAGTCTTTAATCTAAAAGTCTTAAACATGCTTTCTGTGCATTTGTAATAAACTGATCATGTCAAACTAAACACAATTCCTGTGCATAATAAAGTATCACTGAAAGGTAAAAACAAAGCATGTTAACACCTCTCACCATTAATCTTACCATTAATTCATAATTTAGTCAGTCATTGAATTAAGCTCTATTTGACTGTATTTGTGAGCAACATGCTATTAGCCTGTCAGCTCTCACCTTGACTAGATGTGGATTCAGCTTGAACCTTTCCAGTCCACTCTTGTGGTATTGCGGGTGCTGGGCGTGTGGGTGATGGTTTGCATGCAGGGATAAGACTGAGTGGCTGTAGGGTAATGGCTCTGAATGTGTTCGCTCAACAGGTCTGTGAGATGGCAAAGTCCCTGAGCCGTCTCTTCTGGAGGGGGAGGACAGTTTAGGATGCTGCTGTTGAGGAATCGAATTCAACCCGTGAACTGCAGCGGGGACCAAAGAAAGACACGGGTTAAAAAAGGAAATTATGCCGATGAGAGCACATATTAAGAAGAGTGGTTAGGGCACAAGGTAAATCTAATAAAAAAACAATAAGGATGGAAACAAATCTGACAAAATGACTACAAATGAATATGTTTCTGGTGTGTTTATTTGCTGCTTGTGTGACTGCATCACTGCTCTCTACTCAATAGAGTGCGCCCTTTAGCCACCTACGACATCGAGCACAGAATGTCAAAGCTCTCCCTTGATTGAAATGCTTACATAGTGTTCGGGACATGTGAAAGCACACTGACCATAAAAAATTCATACAAATATAAGGTAACAATCTACAGTACCTCAGTTTGTGACAGAAACACCATTAATAGAAACCCAGACTAAGATGATGTCTGTGGTCCATTAGTTTAAATTAGAATGGACTACATAAAGATATGTGCATACTGAAGAACTTTTGGAGTCATACAACTCACGAGAGACCAGTTGAGAGTGCACCAGTCCAGTGCGCGGTTCAATTATGAACACTGGCTGCAGGCGCTGACTGCTTCTCTCCAGAGGCAGGTAAACAGGTTGCAGAGGGGAGACTGCCACTGGCTTTGCTAACCGCATCTCAGCCTGAGAGAGGGCAAAGAAACAGAGAGAAAGTGATAAAAAGAGATGCCATATCATGGAGGCCTCATTAATGGGTATAGATCACATAATTTAGCATATTGGACAGTTACATTATTGGTAGATGGCTTAATTGGTCTGTAACAGAGCAGGGATAGACCACTCAATATGTTAACAGCACCACTGAGATTGATTCACAAGATATGAAAGTGCCACAAAGATGAAAGGGGAAGTGAAACACTGAAAATACCTCTTGTCTGTTTGAGTATGCAGGCGGTTTTTAGGTGATAAGTCATTCTCATAAATACTCATGCAATAAATACGTGCTTACAATGTTCTCTACGCTAATGCCTGTTTCCACTTTTTTCTTTCGCTGTGATATCAAACTTTAGCTATTCAAATATCTATTCTGTGTGTCTGTATTGCTTACGTGTGCAGGAAGTCCAGCGGTGATGCTGGGCATTGCAGTGGTGTTGGAGGACAGGGTAAAGTGTGCTACATTACCATTCTTCATCAGCAACCTCTGTGAATGAACAGAGGAATTTACAGATAAACAGAAAAAATGATCTTTCTATGATCTATCAAAGAAAACTTCTTTGGATATGTCCCCACAATGCTTCACATTTAGGGAGTAAAATTTAAAATGACTTTAAAACTGTACCGCTTGTGCCAGCAACACAAGTGTACAACGTAGGCTTATTATTGGATGCGTTATCTTTCACAGATGTGACAAATGTGACTTTCTGTGATATGTGTATGTATCAGTAACATCACCTCGTGTGCCAGTGAGAGGTGGCCATTATCTGAATGGAGGCTGTCATTTGGTGAGCTGCACCCTGATGCTGAGTTGCTGCTGCTGCTTGGTGAAGAATCTTAGTGACATATTAAAGAGACAATAAATACTATGAAAACAATCACACATACACAAGAGGAAATCATCCTGTATCAGTGTATATACGTTTAAAGTATGCACTTTGAAAGATGCAAATCTGAGGAACTTTATAAATGGTATATATCAAAGCGACAACAACATAAAAGCATAAGCTTATGAGAAAGACACCGCTCAACGTCGATGATCATACCCAGGGTTTCTGGCCTGTGCTTGACGGCAGCAGGGGCACTGATCTTACGCTGCAGTGGGTTAGGCCTTGTGGAGATTAGTTTCTTCAATTTCCATTTCAGTGTGGGCTCAGAGACTGCACAAACACAATAGGATAAACACGTGTTCAAAAGCCTTTCATATAACAGAGACATATGTAAGTGAACCATGGGTTAAAACACTTCATGTATACATTGGTCAATCTCCAAAACACCGAAAACAAAGTAATCAATCAATGGCAGGCTAAAAGATAAAAGCTATATTTACGTTGTCTTGGAGCCAACAAAAACCTCTGAAGGGTGTGCGGGTGCTAAGGGTTCGAGGGCAACGCAAATAAATAATGATTGGTGAATGTACAAAAATGTACAGGAAGCAGGGAACCACTCCCATTCTCATTCATACCGTAAAAGAGAAGTGCTATGGACTCTCACGCAGTTCATTTTACACATACCTTAGCTATGGTTATGTAACTGTTTTGGTCTTTTTGTCTCCATGTCGCTTACATCTTAATGGCTGATCAGCCACTCTCTGGCCCTGTAGGCCTTATGCAAGCTAAGTTCCATTCTTTGATATGCAAAGGATTCAAAACTATTTCATCAACCTTTTTTTATTCTTCATTTAAGAAAATGTGGACATGTTCTTTAGAGATGCTTATATTTAATTGTATTTTAAGAAAGCAGCGGTGAGAAGTGACTGAGTGCAACTCTGATCTACCCCATAGAAAGGCATCTGAAATGGAAAATAACCAGTGATCATTACAGATTTTACCTGAGGCTGGAATGCCCAATCACAGACACAAACAAAGCCTCACCTGTTCTACGCAGGGCGAGGTCCTTACGTTGGTCACAGGGTGTAGGCTGAGGCTTTGGAGATATATCAGGGACTGGTCGCCTTAGTAGCCAAAATACAAAAGACTGCTTCAGCCATTGGTGAGCATGAGAATAGCTGCTCTAGCCATTTCAAAACAACAAATAAAGTTTGGCTTCTTTCACCATTGTCAGAATATAGTGTTATGACCTAATGACATTGTACATACAGTATATTATGGTACACAAAAAAAACGTACAGAGGACGGACTGCGACAGCAGTCATTACCCTTTAAAAAAATGTATTTATGTTAATCTCACCCAAATCCTGGAGGAGTACTGCAGAGACTGGGAGTAAGACGGTCATGGGTAGGCTGGCTCTTCATGATTATGTGTTCCCGAAGTTTCTGCCGTACAAGTGGACTGGCTACAGCACCTGCCAGACAATATAAAAATCACTAATGAGGACATTTTTAAAAAGCAAAATATGGGAATTGCTGTTTTTTTTTACAGGGAAGTAAAAACTATTCGAGTTATTCCAAGTAGGAGCAAAGATGACAGTTATTTTCCGTAATGCTCTATTAATGGCTCAGTTTCCTTAGAATGAAAGAATAACTTGCAGACCATGAAGGAAATCCCCCTTATTTTTTCAGTTCTTTTGTACAGAATGTGATGACTCAGATGAGGAACATGTCAACAATTTCATGCTCTTTTAGGATACACATTAAAAAAACATGCGGAGATCCAATACATAGAACTCACTCTGCTCATTTTTACTTTTTCGAAACAACTGTTGGAGCTCTTCGCTTTTCTTCTCCATCTCTCTTTGCCGTTGTTCAGTGTTATACTGTGAAGAAAATCAGTAAAAATGTATTAACTTTCAAATTCATAGGTCTGTTTGGACTATGTTTGTACGATTTGCAACTGTCACAGTCTAAAATACAACTATTCAGCAGTGACAAATCCCCTGACAGGATGTTTGCATTGAAGAAGACTAGACCATAAATAAATGGTGAGAAGTTGGCCTGTTTGCAGCATCCTGGCCTGTTTCTTACTAGCTTCTTGTTTATACTTTAGTATGGCCTGTGGGTAAAGCATCTGGCTTTCTTACTGGGGCTAATGTGGTGTATTCAAGGTAGCTTAAACAATGTTAAATGATGTTGTCTGAGTATGTGCCACACCTGCAAGTGCTGCTGGGAAAACTGAGAGCAATGCTGAGTGGTGAGAGGTCCCAGGAAGAAAGGGGTGCGGGGGGAGAGCATGGCCGACTCAGGTCCCGGATGTAACAACCTGTGGGTCACACTCAGGTCCATGGGCAGCTTCCTGCTTACAGGTAACGCAAGCTGGCAGGTGATGATCACATTCACTGAGGAAGACAAAAAAGTAACAGTCACAGTCTGAAGATAAACACCAACTATGTAGATGTGAAAAACCGTGGCTGATATTTAAAAGAATGTCTCTCATTATTTATTTACTGCAGTAATCTCAGGACTCTCTCTGTCACATGTAAGATAAAGTAGTGAGCAAGTTCAAGACGGTTCACTATGACTAACAAAATATATCTAAAGTTGTGGAAATATTCGATTCCCAGCTGAAGCTTTGAAGTCTATGGATGGTATGGAATGGTGTCTTCTTAAACTGTGCACACCTGAAATATCTCATTTATAATCAAGCTTCTAATAAACTGGATATTTTCCAATACAACCCCAACCATATCCATCACATCCAGGAAAGCAAAAGAGAAAGGTGTTTGTATATATTGAGATTGGAGCTCAACAAATAAATCATTATAGCATTTCTCTGGGAGGTTTTACTTCAATATCGTCATTCAGCCATGGATCTCCCATTGTATTGAAAGAAGTCTTAGCCTAAATGTATTTGCTATGTGCAATGAATAACAAAATTTTTAAATTAATTAAACTTACAGACCATTATAAATATCCTCCTGTTACGCCTCAGTGCTCGAACCGTGGCACGAATGGCCCAAGTTTGCTCGGATGGTATCAACACTGAAGTTAAGGTACTATTAGCTAGTTACAAAACATACACATGGAACCTTTTCAGAAATTTTGAGAACAACTACAACAAGTGCAAGCACATGGGTAATATGATACTCTTTTCAAGTGCCAAAGTGACTGACATCTGAAACCAATAAACATGCAGAGGAATATCGATACTGTTACAAAAGAGCAGACAGGTACAGTATGGAAGGAGACACCTCGCTCCCTCTAGGGTAAAGGATAAACAGACGTGGAAATTTACTGAAACTGCCTGTCTGAATAAGTGTAACTAAAGATATTGCAACATTAGTCATGTCATTGTGGGTGGATGTTTCTTTGATTGCAAAGCATGCTGGATAAAATTACCTGTTGTGGATTGCTCTCTAAAACATTTTCACAAGACTGTATATATAAATAAATCTAACCTGGAAATTAGAGATGCATCTGATCAAATTTACGTACTTAGAACAAACCGGTTGAAAACATGTGGTTTAGTCAATTCAAGGTGAGAAAGACTCACGATGCAAAAGATTTTGCACCCCATCCAATTCATGACGTTTTTGAGAGTACATGAATACAGTGATCTGTTTTTTAACAAACAGGGTCATGGAAGGGTAGGAATCAATCTGAGCTGTCAGTCATTGAGAGGAAGTGTAGACTTTGTACAGGCGGTCAGTCAGGGTTTATTGCAGTAGAAAATAAGAAAAAAGGAATCAAATAAAACAACAAAAGCAGACTGACTTGCTATTAATAATCATTTCCTACAGTTTAATTCAAACTGCTTCGGGTCTGCAGCCCAGCTCAGCATCTTTATCAAATGTTCAAAATAAGAACGTCTTGATATAGGCAGGACACATGTTCCCGTGTTTGCAGTAGGTATGAGACATAGAGCAGCAAAATGACAAACAAGCTTTTGTAAGGCAGCAACATTTTAAATGTATAATTTCATGCGCAGCTCGTGAGCAAAATGCAGGGAAGCACATGACAAATAAAAAGTCATGTTAAATTTTCCTGTATCAGTATAATCCAATCATACCTGGTAACTACAGGAGGAAAAGGCCTGTCAGACTAAAGTCTCAGCCACAGAAAGGTTTTTGTACCTATGCATCAAATGTGAAGGTTTAAATATTTTTAAAAAATTACTAAACTTAAAACATAGGAAACACTGAAAAGATTTTTTGAAAATACAAAAATATAAAACTGCTTAATAGAAATAGTTCATTGAAAATGAATGGGGAAAAAAAAGTTGATTTAAGGTGATATAATCTTTGTTTGGAGCCCCAGGCAGCACAGCCCAGAAACATCTACAGTTGTGATCACTAAACCACTGAGAAAACTATGGCAGTCAACAGTACATTGCTATTGAAAGATCAAAAATGATTAAATAAAAACAGAAAAATCCATTCCAAACAAACCTGTTCAAGTTTTTGCCCCAATGCCAGAGATGTTACAAAAGGCACAAAACCAGCTCGCTCACTGCATTGTTCGTTCAATGAGTTAAGATTTCATCTGCATTGACCCTGAAGTGTTTCAAAAGCTCAGGATAACTTCCTGTTATATTAGCACAAGTTCCTAAAGTGAACACATAGATTATAAGACAGTATTTAAATACAACGTGACAAACAAAAACAAAACAAAAAAAACAAAAACAGTATTTTTACTGTTGTAGTTTACCTCTACGGCTTAAAATACGAAAGAAAAGAAAAAAAAGATAAATTCTGGTTCATTTTAAGATTAAGGAGAAGTAAGAGATGATAAGATCTTTGTGCTTCTGCGTGGTTGTTTCTGTTTCTCTCTTTTGAGTGTTGTGGTGCTAAAAATAGCTGGAGACAAACTTCTGGTTTCTGTAATAGCATGTTCGTTTCACACCATCATCCTCCTTCTGTGGGCCGTTTGCAGCAACCCACTGAAATACTGACACAAACACACGTACACACCAGGGACACACATGCATACATAGACTTTACTGCTGTTCACAAACACACAAGAAAAGGCACACACTCACAAAGAAACAGCGACTTCCTGTTTCTAAAGTTAGTCTGCACCATAACATCCTCTTAGCTCATTTAGGCAAGCAAAAGCTGCTATTTTGGTTGAATGGCTTCACTGCAGCTCGAGTCACAGAAATCCTTCAGCGGTATTTATATCCAAACTATGGCCTAAATGTGCTTTGTTTGTTGTTTGGGTTAGTGTTAACTCTATGGTGGCATTGCATGAAGTCTCGGATCTACAAATCAGGTTAAGTGCTGGTTAGCGTGACTATAAACATTCGTTGTGGGGAGGTTCATGCATGGTTAGCTGAGCAACAATGCAGAAAGAGCCAGACTTCAAAGACCAGATTTTGCAGAAATCTAAGAAAAAAAAACAGTTTCCAAATAGACAACAAGTATGATAACTGCTGCATTTTGAATTTGTGCCAACTCTCGGGCGTTCATTATTGAACCTCTTTGGGAAGAGATAATGACACCAGCCAGACCTATAGCAGACCCCCTGCCTCCACCTATCCCTCTGTCCTTTGCTGCATCCCACCCCCTTCCTTGTAGGAATCCACAGCTGTTGGGCACATTCTGTCCCACTGCTTCCGAGCAGCTGGAGTATCAATCTCCCTATGTGTTCATCCCTCTGTGTATGTGCCTGTTTGTGTGTCCGTCCCATGCACCCCCCACCCCAGATATTAATAGTTTGCAGTTGTTTCGTCTCAGTGTACACAGCAGGTCTTTGTGTTTGCATTAGTAGAATCTGCTTGTGCGACAGTTGAGGGGGGCATACACGTGTATTAGTGCATCAGTGCTGGTGTGTGTTGCCATAGGAGTATTAATAGTGCCCATTTGTTTCTTTTGAAGGAGCACTGTGGCTACTCTGTGAGTTTTGGTAGATATGACTGTCCCGCTATATTTTTAGAGTCACCTGTCAGTAAACGCTTGTGTTATTATGGGTAATCGTCAGTAGGCACATGTGTCTAAGAACAGCAAGCCATTCCCCAACACATTAATGGCATTTCCTCATTTGTTTGGAGAGCACTTAGCATGTGTTTGTGAGCATATATAAGTGTTTTATTAGTAATTCCAACAGCCAACAAATGCTTCTGAATGTGTACTGCAATTGTGCAAATAACTATCAGACATTGAATGTGAGCGGGGAACACATTGATCAGATAATGACTATACTGATAAACTAATGACCTAGCATTTTATTGCTTTTTTCCCTCTTAATCTTTTTCAAACAAAAACAATAAATGCACTAGCTATCCACTCTACTCTGAAGGCTCTACAGCAGGCTTTTGGGAAAAAGACCTTGAATGGATCATGACGCTGAGTTGGAATATCTTAAATCTATCCAGAACAGTGATAAAAATTCTTAAAAATATAGAAAAAGTTACTTGAGATGGTAATGTTGATCGAGTACAAGAGTTGGGACTTTTAAAAGTGGTAATGAAGTACTTAGTTAATAGCATCCACAAGATGGCTGTGTGAGAAACTAACCAACACCAGATGCATTCAAAGCTGGCGTATGTAGGAACTTTGGATTTGTGAAGCTGAACTACAATATTTGGAAACATAACAAACGTGGGATACCACTTGGAACTTTTTGAAGCCAGGGAAGGATGTAATAATTACCAACAACCAGATGACCATTGAGCTGGAACAGTCACAGCTTCTACTCAACTTGTAAAGGACCAAGTAGATTATAAACCTTGCCGAAATCTGAGTGCTCAATATCAGCGTTAGTATTTCAGTTTTAGAACCACAGCTTTTGTTCTGTGTTGAACACTTAGGAGCCAGGGTATGATAGCCCATCTTAAAAGTGCTTCGTTGAAACAGAGATCCTGTCTGAACAAAGGAAACAAGCAGGTGAGACATCTCTGACATGTCAAGCATGCCACATTGTTATCGAGGTTTATGACACCTAGTTTAGGATTGTGCCGATCGATATGCAGTACAGTATACCACATGGATCAAAGAAAATGTTTTTGTGAAAAAATATTTTAGTCATGAGAAGTGTTGGATATAGAAGGGCTCAGATGTCGAAAACAGCCTTTTGAAATAGTCTTTTATCATGCCTTTTTTCTGTTTATGAATAATGTGTGTGTCTGAGTGAAGAATAATACTATTAAAATGTATATAATCATACAACAAGACATGTTAATATTAAGGAAAACAGATGTTTTAAAGATATAGGTCGGTAACAAACATTACACCTTAGAAACATTCCATCTTATTTGTTTAAAACCAAATGCTAAATGTGCATGCCAGAACATGCTCAGGATTTTAAACAGTTTTGCAGAGGTTTTGCATTTGCTTTAAAATGTTGTAAGAGCCTTATTCGAGCAAGTTCTTATTCCAAAGCTATGGGGAGAGAAGTATTTTTTTAAATAAGTGGTTTGGTCATTTCCTCAGCAAAGATCAACAGGCTGTGTTTGCATCTGACATGACCGTCCACACTGTTTATCTGTGTTTGCAGCTTTGTCAATCTCTGTTTAGACTTGAGCCTAAAAGATTATCAAACACATTTCGATTATTTCTAAAATTTCAGAAAATGGTTCACAACACCTTAGCTTTAAAGTACTACGGTCTGGAAGTCTAATTGCAGGTAAATGCACCATGACACAGGTATAAACAATCACCACAACACAGACCACTTAAGTGGACTGCAATGCTGGGCCTTAGTGGATCTCATACACAAGCACAAATCAAGCCTCGGACACAAGTCTTTCCCTGTTCTGGTGCTTTCTTTGGACAAATGTTCAAAGGTCATACTATGATAAAACTTCTGTTGATCTTGTACATCCCAGATGCAGGGCAGGAAAAGTTGAGGGGTCACCCGTTAACTGCATCACAAGCTTGACCGCTTTTTAATGTGACTCTCCAGCTTAATTTTATACAGACAAACAGACTGGCAATTGTTGGAGAGGGCTTCATTCTTTTGCCTGTGGGTTCCACAGGGTCACAGAGAAGAACATGGTTAAATATGGCCCAAAGTGCTGTCATAAGATTGGCATGAGTTTGAGGTTTCATCATCACAATTTCTGATGCTGTTAAAGACTGATGCTGAGTCGTTCAGGCCTGGGCAGGTAGTTCTTATTCATAGCATAGACATGAAACAAAGAACATAGCTACTTTGAACTAGCCCCCACACAATATCAGGTTAACATATCCCACAATTATGCAAATTAGGCCTGAGCCACGACTTGACCTGGCAGGAACACTGGCAGGTTTCCTTCATGTAAGAAACAGTCGGTGATCATCCAAGCATGGGCCGATTCAGTTCAGTGGTCTAAACACGTCATCCCAACCCACAACTTCCCAACCCTTTCCGTGGTACTGACATTTAGATGCTACCTGAGGGAATGCCTTACACCACCCGCACTTACAAAAACATTGGCACACACGCCTGTTTTTTATTCACAATCTGCCAGGCACGAAGGCGATTTGACTGAGAAAACAGGTTCTCATGTTGACTTCCTACTATAAGTCACCAGTGTGTCGGCAGTATAATGTCGACAGTAACATTGTCCGTTTCACACGAGGTAAGAAGAGTACGCAGAAGGGCCGCTTTGTTTCACACTCACCCTAGAGTCAGTGAGAATACAGTTACTGTCTTCTGGTGCTAGACAAGCTTTTACTGCTAATTTTGATAAAGTTACTGTTTCCTCAACACATTTGATTTTCTTTTTTTTTCCCCTTTCTAAACACAGATTCACACTCACATGACAAACAGCAGATTGATGGTTCTTTTTCTGTGTTTTTGAGGGGCAGAGTGTATCAGTAGTCAGCTGAGTTGATCTTAAATCAGGAAAAGGAAATGTGATCTGGTGCTCTGGCCGGTCCAGAACACTGTCCCTATTGTCAGTGCACTGCCGTGGCTCACACTGGGAAAACACTGGGGACTTTTAAAGGTTATCTATCCTGTGGAAAGGTTGATATTCCCCTATACAACTGTGCTGTGCGAAACATACACAAAATGGATAAAATATAAAGAACCAATTGCTAAAACTGTCTTTGTCTTTCTTATGTTTATTTGTATAAAACTAAAAGCTGATCTCTTGTTAGTAAAGGCATAGAGAAACACTCTGGAAATGTTTTGATGAGAGTTAAACCACTAACCAAATACATTAGAAACACGTGAATAATGCTTGTGCTGGGAAGTCCCTTAGTGGTCAGTTTAGTCATCCAAGAAGAGGAGAATAAAAACAAACAAAACTACCTGAAAATGTAATGTCTTTAATCTGTAAGGCTCCATTTTACATTTGAAGTACTAACTATTCTCAAATTAATCCATTTTGAGGACTTTTGTCCTAAAACTCTACAAAGACCAGACCTACGGCGTAGGACTATACCATTAACAGAGAACGTTTAGCTTTAACTGTCTTTTTGAGCCAACTCTAAAAGACATGCACAGTAAAAGCAAACTAAACTAACCAGCAAAAACATCTGAATTCTGCCCTTGTCTTACCGTTATTTCTTAAACCCGAAAACAAAAAAGACTAGGATTTAGACAACACGGAAGCAAATGGCTTGTTAGGCAGGAGACAATTTAACAGGAATCACTGGTCTGTCTTTACCTTTCAGCAGCCCGTTACTAGACTTCAGTGCTCTGACAGAAGTCATCTAATGAACCTTTTCATTTATGGGGGGCATCAATAATAAGGGATCAATGCTAACCATGTGTGCCAGTACATGTG